CCCTACCACTTTGCTTTAACAAGAACTCACTAGGAAAAGCTTCATCAATTTAGAGAGGTCAATAACTTTATTTGGAATTAATTTAAAAATCTGAATTCAAATACATTTAAATAAAATTTCCTGTGGGTTTTCTCTATTGATAGGAGAATTATTTCTGTTAAGAATATCTCTTTTGGGACCAGCAGATGGCATAATGGCTATGTCGCTGGACTCCCATGTAGTTGACTGTGGTTCGAGTCCCGGACCTGGTGGCTTGAACTTACACCAGGCTCATGTGTGTGCATGTCCAAGATTCCGACAGGACAATGGAGAAGGGATTGCTGTGTGGTCATTAACCCCCTCCTGGGGGGAGGGTGATTTCTTGCTTTCTGTCTCTGTCCGTCTTTCTGGTGAGTGCACATGCCCTATATCAAAAGAACCTCTCAAAAAAAAAAAAGAGTATCTCTTTTTAAACAGCTTTTCTAAAAAGTTGAAAATTTGTTTTCTAAGGACAGTTGTATGTCCTTATATTTGTTTGATTATATTAGTTTGATTACAAATAGACAAGAATAGAGGGAACAAGCAGTTAGTGTAATGGCTATGTCACTGGACTCCCACGTAGTCGACTGGGGTTCGCGTCCCGGACCTGGTGGCTTAAAACTCACGCCGGGCACATATGCGTGCGTGCCCAAGATCCCGAGAGGAGAATGGAGAAGGGATTGCAGCGTGGCCATCCCCCTTGGGGGGTGATTTCTCGCTTTCTGTCTCTATGTCTCTCTGTCTGTCTGGCGAGCACATGCACCCTATAGCAAAAAATTTCTCCAAAAAAATAAAAAGACAAGAATAGACAAACAACCCAGACCCATATAGGAGACACTGTAAAAGAAAAAACCCCAACTTCTTTTCAAAGTATATTTTCTAGGTTATAAGAGTTTTATTGCTTTTTAAAAAGTACATTACACAGACAAGAGCTTTATTTAACAGAAAGACTTTTAGACTTTAAATTCTCAGTAGCTTGGAATATTAGCAACCCAAAGTCTGAAAACGTAATTCGGATACTCTGTAGAAGATATTTTGTATACCAAATAGTGTATTTTATGCTTTAGAAGCACACTTTCAGATTTCTGAGCTTAAATATAAATGCTTTTTTTCTATAGTGAAAATGCCCAGCCACTTTGTGTTTACCTTGGGATGAGAGAGAGTGACTGGGAAAGGGTACAAAGGACCCTCTGGGGAACTGGAAATGCTTTATACCTTAATCTGGGTGGTGGTAACATGGGTGCATACACATTGAAATTTCATCTAGCTGTACACTTTATGGTTTGTGAATAGGTGTGTTTAGTCAGTTTTGAAATGCCCATCAACTATTTTTATAGAGAATCACTAATACGACTTTTAAAGTAAAAATGCATAGGGGAAAAACAAGTTATCTAATGCTCGTGGCATAAGGATTCGTAGTCACTTTCAGGTAAATTACGTATGAAACTACAGTAAGGCTTCAAGGATAGAAATTACTATTACTCTATCAAATGGTGGGGGGAAGAACACAATGTATCAGTTTAACTATTAAGGCCAGAAGTGTTAAAATAACTTAAGCTACAACTAGAAGATCAGAACAGCTGATTATGGCATGATTACCTATGATTACCCATGCTTTTTTATTTCTGCTTCTTACTGTATGGGTTTTTGTCCTCACAATGCTTGCACTTCCAAAAGAGGGAGAAGGAAGAGAAAGTTAAATTTGTTTTGTTACTTATTTTCAGCTGCTGTTTTTAGTGTTCTAAATAGATGAAGTTATGACTGAGTTTTAAAATTATGCATTCCACTTTCTATTTATTAAGGGAGAAAAGAGTTGGTTTATGCAGGAAATATAAACACCTTACCTGCCTCAAATTTTTTTTTTATTTTTTACTTTTGCTTGGAACTATGTTAATTTTCATCACCTTCAAAAGCCTTTGAGAAGATTAGCTGCATAGACCAATATCGTTCTATATTAGTCAGTATTAAGCATATGATGTCACCTTGTTTCTTCCCCTACTGAAGCTTTTCTTCTAGAGAAAAGAGGGACTTTTTTGGACAATACTCAAAATTCTGTGGCTTAAATGCCACTAGCTGACACACATGACTGGCAACTTTATACTTCCAAACCTGTTTGAAATGGGTCAAATACCTATGTGCTGCAGAACAATGCAATCAAACTAGCAATTCCCCAGAAAAGAGAAAGGGGGTGTGATGATCTTCCGGCTATTAAGCAAGTTATTACAAAAACAGTTCGGTGGTTTGTTTCTGCAATAGGCACAGCTTCAGCTAGTATTTTCTCTCTTAATTAGCGAAAATTATCAGAGGTACGATAAATCGCCAAGGCACGAAGCTCCTGGGGCAAACGTTAAGGATTTTCTGGAGGTCCTCATACTGACCCCTCAGCATTGGTTATTGATTATTAACTCTGCAGGGGGACTATCGAACGGAATTCGTGTGAGGCTTCTGAAGCCACAGGAAAGAAGATGCAGGAGGGAATATAAGCTTCTAATAAAAGAAACGCAGCAACAATAGCAGAGGAACAGCTCTGCCTGGTGACGTAATGGCTGGCAGCAGTCCAGCTCCAGCAGAGCTGCTGCTACCTCAGCATCCAACCTCCCTCCACAGAGTCCAGCGCCGGCAGAGCCACCGGGGCTGCTACTTCCTGCGATGCCACTTTGTTGGTGCCACCAATGCCTTACCTTAGAGGGCCAGAACGCTGAACAAAGGGGCTGTCCTGCTGTTTTAAGTGCACAGAACATACACGCACTCTCAGTACCCACCACTGGCTAGCCCCCTTAATAACGAGGCAATC